CCCCCCCCAACCTCTGAGGGCTATCTTTATCATATCTGGGCAGTCTCAGCAGCCAAGTTGCAAGCAATCCCCAGCTTTCTGGTTCTAAGCTAGCATCTTTGTTGCCCCATCACCTGATCACCTGGCTTCAGATTGCAAAGCTGATCTGTTTTTGACAGCCTGTTTTCCTGCTGCCATGTGCCTGAGGGCCCAATGGGGCAACACACTCTACTTTGCTGCTGCCAACTTCCTCAAGTGCCCGACGGAGCCAAAAAGCCTGCTGTGCTGCCAAATACCCCCTTGCCTCCAGTCCTCCTTCTTCACTGGTGTCACGATCCCCTCTGAAGTCCTTATCCCCCCAGACTTTCATGAGGTTCTCACTATTCTTTCTTCTTAGCTGCTACCAGATATTAATGCTTTAATATCAATTAAGCATTGAGACACGTGTGCTGTCAGAACATAAGTCTTTTATTTAACCAGGGAAGTTATCAATGGATACTCATGGGGTAGATTATAGGTTGCAAATCACTGATATTTGAATCAATTAGGATATTACTTCAAAACTCATTTAACCCTCTGATTCAGCCTACCCTCTTACAGTTCTTTAACTCACCCTACTATCACTTTTAAGTCACACCCAGTCAGTCTCTCTCTCTCTCTCTCCCTCTCTCTCTCTCTCTCTCTCAGACTCCACCCACCAGTCTTTTTATCCCACTCCCTTCCCTCCTGGCTCCACCTTCCATTCACTCATTGGCTCCTGCAACAATGTTCTGCGGTTACGGGCAGGTGAGGTCAGGGCTGTTCGCTACAACTGGCAAATGTAATGTTGTGCTGAGCTGAAGACAAACTCAATACCTCATGCATGCCTCTGCCAGAGGGACCTCTCATTCTGCTGGGGCTAAATATAACTCCCTCAATGCCATGGGCTTCTGTGCCATGTGGTAAACTCTCCTGGGGGGATCGAATTTGTGGGTGAATAACCTCGATTTCCGTTATCTAATCTTTGCCAAAGTTGGCAGGCGTGTTGGGGAGAGACATAGGAAACTCTGTTATGATTCTGGATTCTCCAAGTACCTGGGGCGTTTTCCTGGGGAGTCCTCTTTGTGACTATATAACTCAGGGGTCTGCTATCCAATGTTCACCAAACTTTCAGAAGTTGTAGAAAAGCATCAGAGGAAGCTTCCCTGCAAATTTGGTGTCTCCATGCCATCAGGGCCCAGTGTTATAGCTGTTTAAAATGCAGATTATTTGACAGATCGATTCACCAATTTGTCAAAGAATATTCATATATTTGTATTCGTTGATTCGTTAATCTTGATGAATAATGAATCAAAACAAATCATCATTTTTTTATTTCTCCCCATCCCTAGTCAAGACTTACTCTGCTGAAGTTCACTGTACAGACTCCTCAAGAGCTAATTGTACTCTGAGCTTCTTTTAGATACAGCAAAAGATACTGCTGTATCTTGAAGTCATGCCCTGGTTCTTTAGCACCTGCATCAACAGTGTGCTCTGAACTACTTAGGCATTTTATAGACAAGGTGCTCACCATGTGAAGAAATTTAACCTGGGCTTTCCAACCTCCTTCATGAAATGCAGGCCTCCTGCACTGCTTGTTGTTAGCTTGGTTAACTTCCCTACTGGTAGATTATTATGCTCACTACAATTGTGCCCATTTTCAAACCCATCATTTTCTCTGACTTCTCCACTCCTGTTCGAGGGCAGAAATTCTCCTTCCTTCCCCCCCTCCCATGTAATTTATATTTGTTTTCATCTTATATGCTGTACTCTGTCATTCCACATTAACAACACGAACCTTGTCAGGGGAGAATTAAGAGCAAATACTACCACTTAGATGATTTTCATCTTTCCAACATCTCTCTCCATTCTGTGTGAAGAAGGAAGAAACTGGAATCAAGAGGTTTTGTTCCCTGAGCCATGCCAAAAGCATAGCAACTGTAGAATCTAGGGGAAGCCATTCCCAAGGATTAGAAATAGAATGCTTCTCCCTCTGTGCCACCATGGGAACTGGACAGAATGGCAATGGGAAAGCACATTCTTTATTATTATTCCATTCTTATTGGAATCTTGAATCCCATAACAAGCTTCAGCCATGGTCCAACTCTGATTCAGCTTTGGATGGAAGCCTTCCTCAACTCAGCAAGCATGAAGCAGGCTGCTTTGGTGTAGATTTTATCTGAATCTAATGCATATCACTAATCAAAACCTGTTTCGTGTCTAACCTCCCCCTTTTCCTCCTCTTTCTCTCCCCACTGCCTTTAAAAATATATCAACTTTTTGTTTAGTCATGTCCCATTCTTCATGACCCCATGGACCAGAGCACGCCAAGCTCTCCTATCTTCCACTGACTCCCGGAGTTGGGTCAAATTCATGTTGGTTGCTTCAATGACACTGTCCAAGCATCTCATCCTCTGTCGTCCCCTTCTCTTGCCCTCACACTTTCCTAACATCAAGGTCTTTTCCAAGAGGTCTTCTCATGAGATGGCCAAAGTATTGGAGCCTCAGCTTCAGGATCTGTCCTTCCAGTGAGCACTCAGGGTCGATTTCCTTTAGAATTGATAGGTTTGTTCTCCTTGCAGTCCAGGGGACTCTCAAGAGCCTCCTCCAGCACCACAGTTCAAAAGCATCAATTCTTCAGCGGTCAGCTTTATTTATGGTCCAGCTCCCACTTTCGTACATCACTACAGGAAAAAACATAGCTTTGACTATTCGGACTTTCGTTGGCAAGGTGATGTCTCTGCTTTTTAGGATGCTGTTAAGGTTTGTCACCGCTTTCCTCCCAAGAAGCAGGCGTCTTTTAATTTCATGGCTGCTGTCACCATCTGCAGTGATCATGGAGCCCAAGAAAGTAAAATCTGTCACTGCCTCCATATCTTCCCCTTTTATTTCCCAGGAGGTGATGGGACCAGTGGTCATGATCTTAGTTTTTTTTGATGTTGAGCTTCAGATCTTTATTTATTTATTTATTTTTTGCTAATAGAAATTTTGCACATAACAATCTCTGACATTCAGGCAACTTTATGTCCTTAGCATATGGGGTGAGAGGGCAATGTGTGAGGAGAAAATACAGAATATAAGGCCCTCTCTATTTAATTTGTGAAGACTTTTGCAGGCCTACAACATAGTATTGCTTAAATAAGGTTTGAATGTACTCACAAAGTTTGCTTACACCAGTTCTAATGCTCTAAAGAATTCTGTGAAGCTATACCAGTGCTCATCCCGTATTTTAAGCATTTTAGTTTTCAAAGGAAATACCCTGCCAGTAGACTAAATGAGCTGGTTTGATATGGATCGTATGCAAGCTCCTTCCCGGGGCTGTCACCTACCTTTTCCCCCTATGACCTGACATCTTATGTTGACAGATTTCCAATATTTTAAGCTGTTAGAATTCTTCTATCTGATGTTCTGACTTGTTCTATACTTCCTGCCGTGCAAATTGATGCTGCCCCAGTGGCCTTGGAATACTGTAATTAGAAAAGAGACAGCAATGGTGAATCTAGAGGGGAAGCAGAAGAAAAGACACACTCTGGCTATGTGATGGAAGAGTGAAATGGCCTATACCTTAGGGGTGAAGGGAAACGATGAATGCAGATTGAGAGCAATGTTAAGAAAAAGTTCCTGAGTTTCTACAAGTCATAATGCCCCAGGATGCTAGAAATGCAAAGACAAGGGGAGAATTAGAGAAAAGAATGATAATATTTAGCAGCAAAGTTTAAAATGGAGATTTAAACACACAGCTTTCTGGATGCAACAGAATAATTTGAACCAAGAAGTTGCGCTGTGTTCATAATCAATCTTTCAAATTTAATTTTTTCTTTCTTTTGAAAATATTATGGTTATGATATCTGGCCAAAAGTAAATTTGGGGAGATAAACTTTCTCAGGATAACTACCATAGAAACAAACCAAAATATTATCAATAAAGACAATGGAAACAAACTAAAAAGGAGGGAGGGAGAGAGAGAGAGAGAGAGAGAGATCAGTATACAAGCAGTTGCAGCAAGTTAGAAAGGGAGGAAATGACAGTGCAATTAATATGCTTGAGAGTTTCAGGACTATTTTAACAATATTGAACCAACAGGGTAATTATTCCGACATATTAACCAGAGTTCTACCAAATTTATCTAAAGTAACACTCGGAGTAAACGTCATGGTTCCTACTCAGGAAATGATTTGATAATATTTCACGAGAGAGAAAAATACTTTTGATAAGTCAAGTAATACTTCTCAGGGTAGAAGTCCACACATCCTTGATATTAACCTTTTCACACCTAACTATATCTTACAGTTTTAACACATCCTGTAATAGCAGGTGTTACCTTGAAGAAAGCATGCATACATAAGAATTCCATAGACAAGGGAAACCATGGAAACAACTTTTTAGGAGGCTGATCGGAGATAAAAATTCTCAGAAGTTATCTTCTGTGAAAATTTCCTATAAGTCTGTCACCACTTTGGAATATTTTCCAATATATTTTCCATCATTTTTGGTGGCAGCTGCCATTCCCTCAACAAATGCCCTGGGGTGACATTAGGCCCAGGGCATTGCAGAAGATTTACAATGGCTACTGCCGTGTCAACACACTGGTTGCTGAACCTGCAATCCTTGGTGTTTGGGGGGGGGGGTTACACAAACAAACTATGCTATTCTTTCTGCTAGTAGTCCATCTCTGAGAAGATGTTAAGGGATTCCAGTTATCTCCTGAATAAATTCCATGAATCTCACCTCCCAGAAAGAATGCAGAAGTTCTTGAGAGGCCATTTACACTTGGTCTAGATTGTTATTGCAGGGATGGTGCTTGTCTTCATTATTGCACAAAAATGATAATATTCAAACACATGTTGTTACAGTCAACAAACCAAAATTTAAATAGGGAAATAGATTCCCATCTTACGAAATTTCTAGCTGGAGCTCTAAAATTGTGTAAAGCATATTATTCCTGGCACAGGTCTGCCTTCAGGCAAATATTGAGTTCTGCATATCTGTCATTCACACTGCAAACACATGAGGAGATTATAGGTAGTTACAGTTCATCCCAGTCTGGCATCCTGGAATCTTCCCCAAACACCCACTAATCAGACAATGTGTGAAATATATAAAGTATATACAACAAGATGCAAATACTGTAGTAAATTCCATCTAGTCTAAAACACAAACTGATGGTCTCCTGCAGATAAATGCCAACCCAGGCATTAAATTTAGCATTTGGTTTCCTAGGGATATTATAAGAGGCAAAAGATTTAGAGGAATATTCCAATTTAACAAACCCTATCCAACCTGAAATATCTTATTCCAAATTATTTTTGTCTGCTTATACAGTTGGCCTGAAGCAGAATCTCCAGGAGGCTTCCAAAACTAGCAAAGCAAAAAGTAATCTCTCAGTACATTTGGTGGGAGAATATATGCTGAACTACACATTAAGGAGACTGTGACTAAATAGAGCTGTATGCTTCACTAGCAGCTTCTCGGCGTACTAATAATGACTCTTTGGGGCTTTTCCCTCCTCATCATGTGATTTCATCAAGTTGTTCCTTCACAACTGAAGTATAGAAATAGTATGTGGGCAGCAATAGCTTTTTTGCCTTTCAGTAATTCAGTTTGATTATGGGCAGACACTACATTTTTTTAGAATACATTCCAATGTCTGTGTAAAAAGGAACTGACCATCTGCTTTATTCTTTACACATATGCCTGCATGGGGATTAAATGTCCAAAATGACTAAATGTGGTAGAGGCAGTTAAATAACGATGTTGGAAATGTCCTCACTACACCATGCAAATCAATTTACTTACTGACTTGCATTCATTTTTTGTCCTTTGGCCATACACAAGTTGAGTGTTTCCTACCAGTTTTGATTGCCTAAAGCTGGATAACCATATGCTGCTTAAAAAGATACCTGTGGTATCTTATCCTGGATATCACTCAATTTTTCCCAAGAGCACAAACTGTTCTCAGGTAACACATAGTTGTTGTGAAAAATGAAATGCAACCTTTTCCTGGACAAGCCTGTTTCTTTGAAGAGCAACTTCTGAACTTGTTCATTTAAAGCTGTCACTGCCACTAGTAATTACTAAGCCTGTTCTTTTTGTTGTTGTTTAAATACACTTATTTATTTATTTACTTACTAACTTTCACCTACATTCTCAAAGCAATTTACAGAACAGTCAAAAATATGTATTACGACACTAAATTTGAAACCAATGAAAACACCAGTAGCAAGCTCACAAAATCTTTAACTTACAAAATACATAATAAACATGTTTCCTACCTGAGGAAGATGTCTAAACATCCAAGACCACTCAAGAGAACACCCTCCTACTAATGGATGCTGACCAGAAACAGACTGATGGTAAGACAGGGCTGAGCAAACTCAGTTTGGGGGCCAAATTTGGGCCACAGCTCCCCCTGTGGGCAACACGAGGGGGGTTCAGAAAGAAAAATCAAGGCAGTTTTGAGTTTGTTTCTATAATTTTGTGGAAATCAGAGCCATATCAGGCCCTTGGTACAACAACCACTCGTCCTAGAAAACACCAGGAACAGAAATTGGTCGCTCTTTGTTTAAAAAAGAACCGGAGTGGAATGTTCTTGGGGTCCTTTATGGGTTGTGAAACACCCCTGGGAGCCACATGATCTAAACTGAGATGTCACTAGGACACTCTAGAGCAGTGGTTCCCAATCTTGGGTAACCCAGGTGTTCTTGGGCTGCAGCTCCCAGAAACCCCAGTCAGCTTCTGGGTGGTAAAGGCTTCTGGGAATTGCAGTCCAAGAACACCTGGGTTACCCAAGATTGGGAACCACTGCTCTAGAGCAATTGTGTCCCTTTAGCCCTATAGGTCCAAGCTGAGTAAATCTTCCTCTCCTCAAAAAAGACTACTGAATACTGTGTGGCAATTCTGATCTTGCACAGTACTGC